CTTAAGATTAGCTTAATACTGCTACTTGTTGTAGCAATTTAAAGATTGTCCATTTGTGAGCGAAGAAATTCTGCATAAAACCTCGTTTTTGGTGTGGCCGTGCACAGGGAGATGCTAGAATGTTTTACCCCAAAACTTGCTGAAAATTCAGAAAATATTGCAGCAACATGAAAAAATTAATTAGCTTTAGCAGCACAACAGCTTAAAAATGATAAATGTTGGAAGAATTTTTAGACCTTTTTATAGTTTTCTCGTTAGACCAACAATGAGGGCCTAGTAAATTATAAATATTTAAGCAGTACTGCTGAATGATTCCTTACTCCCGTCAATCACCGAGCGCAATTACAATAGCAATGTCATATATTGCGTTGATAAATAAATAGGTAATGACACGTTGCCTTGCTCTCTTTCATAAATTGTTATAATGGCCTACTGTTAAACTTTAATATTGCAAGAAGAAATGAATAAAATTTCATAAAAAGTCATTGGTGTATAACAGTCTTAATCATGGCATGGGGCACAAATGCTGGAGTGGATGACCTGTTGCAGAAGCTGGCGAACCCAAAGACAAGCAAAAGTCTCTATGTCATGCGTTCACGCGCAATAAGCGACTCGGATATGGTTCAATTAGCTACTTCAATTAGCAAGAACACAGTGCTTGAAGAGCTTTATATATCTGGTCATCATTTAGGACCCCAAGGACTCCAGGCATTCGTTAACTGCTTATCAGTCAATTCGACGCTTAAACACTTGAGTCTTGGATCGGAAAATCTTAAAGATCAAGCAGTTCAAGCTCTAAGTGCCGGTCTAGCTCGCAACGCCCATTCAAGTATCCAGTCTTGGGACTTAGAATTCAAGTCACTTGGTGTCGACGGCGCAGCTGCCATCGCCAATTTGCTCGAAACCAACCAGTCATTAGCGATAGTGGCGCTTTCCCGTAATCAAATTGGAGACCAAGGTGTGGAAAAATTGGCAAAGGGATTGCGTAAGAATGCTCAGTCGGGAGTTAAGGAGCTGCTTCTGACAGACGTGGGGATGTCAGGGGCTGGACTTGACCACTTGGCTATGCTTTTGGAATGTGAAAAGTGCTCTTTGTTGACACTACAATTGTCATTTAATGCGCTCGAAAATGCGTCGTGCACTTTTTTTGATGCGCTGGCTAAGAACACATCGTTGACGAAGCTGCAGCTGAAGGAATGCAGCTTGAGTGACGTGCATGTGGCTGCACTCGCTACGGCACTTCAGCAAAACTCGACGTTGATCGAGATCGATTTATCTGACAATAATCTGACGCAAGTTGCGTGTGCTTCACTAGCTCAGGGACTGAGTGAGAACAAAACACTGAAAATTGTGCGTTTGAATAACAACAAGTGTCAGGATGAAGGAGCTGTGCTTCTAGCGAACGTGCTGGCTAGTCACAACTCGACATTAAAATACGTAGATTTGGGCAACAACGGACTTACCAGTACCGGGATGACGCCGCTGCTTAAAGCTCAATCGCTGACTCAGTTGCATCTATTCAACAACAAGCTTGGCAAAGGACTAAACGAGCTGTTACCAATACTTCTAGCCAATTCGGTCATTGAGACGCTCGGCATCGGTGCCAATGAATTGCATATGGCACTGAGTGTGACGATTTTCGATGCACTACACTCGCATCCGTCTTTACAAACGCTTGAAATGGGGGGAAACACTCTTGGCAAGGAGGGTCTTGAGGCTCTCGACAAGCTGAGAAAAGCAAATCATAGACTGGATGTCGCTGTCGACAAGAACGCACAAAACGAAGATGGAAGTTTTTGAGTCAAAAAGGCACTTGGTGCTCTTCTTGTATCACGATAGAATTCAATAAATTAAAAGTGACAAATCATTCGATAAACCTTGACGACACACGCCTTTTGACAGCGCTGCTTTCTGCTTAATCTTCACGTTTCTTCGCATCATTCACGTCCAAGTTTGCAAACGCAGTGTCAATGAAGTCCAAAGTAAGCGCCTGTCGGAATTTCTCGAGGTCGTCATGCATGTCCTGTTGCCATCTTTGCACTTCAGTATGAAGTGCTTGTAGTTGCGTCAGTGCGTTTGCTTCCTCTTCTTCCGCAAGGTTTCGCACATATTCAGTCCAAACAGTGAAGTCTCCTTCTAATTGTAGCACTTTCGAATGGGATTCGGCGATACTTGCCTCAAACTTATCAATGCGTGATTTCAGGTTGAGGTGGTATTCGCGTGACTCGTTAACTTTCTTCGCAGCGTACAGGAGACCCGCCATGCAGAAAATTGCCGAAAAAATCACAGCAAGAGATTTGCTACAAAAATTAGATTGCTTGCTGGCTGCCGAATTATCGCTTCCTGGTGTATTGTATGGTGGTGTTAAATTGAGCGGTGTTGCGTCAGCATGCTTAAGTTCGGTTGGTTCTGATTCATCACCCGAAACAGACAAATGCAAAAGTGGAGTAATTTCGTCAGCCTGGTTCGAAATCTCTTCCTCGCCAGCATTATCGGCAATCACGGTTTCAGCAGATGAGCTAGTATTCTTGATCGCAGCATTCTTTCTAAGCGCACAAGAAAGCTTTGCTCCCATGCTTGTTGGGGCAGCATACCGCGAAGTCGAACGCGTGGAGTACAACTCTTTCGGCAATCGCTCCGGTATTTTTGGTGTGACATACGATTCATGCGGCAACTGTGTATTATCGTAGCGGTCGTGGACATATACAGGCTCCTTTAGCGCAAAGAGTTTTTCTGCAGCGTCGAAACGGCAAGCTTTATCACCATGGGTAATGTTTGAATTTTGATTTTGAAAAGTTTCATGAGAGCTTCCTTTTGATTCTGTGCGACTGATAGTATTTTCAGCAACGTGTAAATCGTCAACAAAGTGAGACTCATTCTCGCTAATCCTGGTAGCTCGTTCGGATACAGGAATGTGTTTCGGTTGTTGAGCTTGCGTTATCACGAAAGCGTCGTCATTTGTCTTTGCACGATCATTAGAAGATGAGATTGGGCGAAACGCTGGCATAGACGTATCCAAAAATGATTGCTCCTCGTAGCTATCTTTCTGCCCATACGAGCCATCGATGGGTGGAGCTAGAATATTCTGATCGCCTTGTTTCGAGCACTCCAAATATGATAGATCCTTTATGCCAGGCTTGTCTGGAGACTGCACATTGCACATTGCGTGCGGGCTTTTCTCTACCTCGTTAGCTGTGCTCGCAATAAGTGTGTGGTGCATCGCTATTTCAACATGCTCTTTTTTACATGTTTCTCCAAATCCAAAGCCCATCTCAACGTTTCGTGTGACTTTGCGAAGACTTTTTATATTTTCACAAACGTTCATCAAGGCCGTAAGCGAGTCACTTGGATAGTTCATTGTGTCCAGTTCTTTGTGCTGTTCATCAGCTTCTTCTTCAGGACAACTTTGCTTGATATAATGCCTATGTCTGGCTGGTAAAACGTTGTCGTGCAAAGTTGGCATCAAATTATCTAAGCCTTGTACCAAATCACTGTCCTTCACACAACCTTCATTAAGGTGACCTTCATCTGGTACCGTACAACCACTCACTGCACTAAAATTTAGCGGGTCAGGCAATTTCTCCGCCAAATTGTCGTGATATTCGCTTTGTTGGTCACGAATTTTTTCATGAATAAAGTCCGTATGAACGCTTCCATCGTAAAAATAATTCATGACATCGTCTTCATTAGATAATGCGCTGCCAGCATTGGATTGTTCTAGCATCGACGACATTTCGTTCTCAAAAGCGCGGTCAGTTAACGCATGTTCTGTCTTAGCTTGCTGCAGCTGATCTAGTGGTGGCGAATTGAGCGTTGACGACTTGAGCGTTGACGACTTGGAACTGGGCATTTGGTGCAGCTCGTTTTCTTGATCCAGACGTCGATATCTTGATCTCATGATTACGTTGTCTGAGGATAATTTAGTTGAAATTGCTTTCAAGCCAGGTGGCTGCTTGTTGACAAGCTCCTCATATGCGCCTAGGCTTGATTCAATCGTTTCCTCGTCATCTTTTACTTCAAGCATAGGTGAAGAGGGGCTACTACATCTACTCGTTTTCAGCGTGGAGCTACGTGGACGAGGGAGCAAGGATAGATGCTCTTCTGAAGTAGTCGATACTTTTGAAGGTTTCTCGTTCTGTGAGCTGATGCTTTGAAAATTGGGGCTCTGTTTATGAAATCTCTTCAAAGTTAAGTCACTCGGTGTAATCGATTCTGCCTCTTCGTCATGTGTAGAAGATGCGCTTGACGATCGTGATTGACTTGAAGAGCAAGAAGAAGAATTCAAGGCGTCCATATATTTCAGAGTGGACATTTGCACACTATTTGAAGCTGAATGAGCCAGAGAATATTCATGCATCTGCGAGCCATCAAACGCTTCTGGAGATTGATCATGCTGATCCAATTCACTTCCACTCGAAACATTAGAATTGTCGAATGGATATCGTAAGTTCGGATCAGTAGTATGAGTTTCCATACTGCCTTCTGCATTCATAACATCTGGACTCAAACTTTTTGGATTTTCGAGCTGTTTCAATGTAGTTGTTTCTGATGCGTAAATTTCAACTTTTTGCCCACGTCGGAGCAGTGGAGACTCGCGGGAACCCACACGCGACTGAGAGAAAGCCGACTTACTTCGACTGAACGAGTCCAGATTGTGGATTATATCAGGATGCTTTTCTAAAATTGCCTTAGCGATCGGCGATTCACGATGATCATGCACAAGCAGCCCTTTTGATTGGGCTGAAAGCAAGTCGACAAATTCAATTGCGCGTTCATTCCTACGTATCAAGCATTATGTAATCAATCAGCTACCAGCTCTCCGACTACAAAATAGGAATTTCCATACCACTTAACAGAGAAATCAGCAAGAGTCTCACGCGCCGTCTTACGGACAGATTCGTTTTGGTCCTCCAGTCCCCGTTGAATTATTTTGCACACATCCGACTCATACTGCAAAACTTCTTCATCCCTCCAATAAACGAAGACAAGTCGAAGTTGCTCTAGCACCAATAAACGACCTTTGGCTGAACGAAACATGTCATTTAGATTCAAACAAAATGGTGATTTTCGCACCCACCGTGCGAATTCTCCTCGTAAATTTCTCTCATGAGTGCCAGGTCATAACGTACGACCTTCGACATTTCGTGCAAAAGTTTAGATCCTGGCTGACGCATCGCCACCGATGTCGATTTGGCTGTACTGACGATTTGAGGCAGTAAAGCGTTGGCCATATCCTTAAAATCTTGTCCCATGACATTAATTATTCTCAGAAGACACTCGCACGTATTCCTTACGAGCTTAGACCGCGTTGAACCTAGCTGTATGCTTAGTCCGACCTTACACAGTTGAATGGTTAATAATAAAGGCTCTTTAAGCGAATAATGACATCCACGTACGTACCGATAGGCTCATCAGCAATCGAAGGGCATCTTTATGACTCACAGATTGTCCAAGCGATTCCACAGTGTTTGCTAGATTAGTAATCGCCTCAGATTTGTCCATCCATTCCGCCTCGGGATTGTTCAGTAGCTTTTCCGTCTCTTGAACCTAGCGAAGAATCATAATCATTTTTTGGTATATTTTCAGAGCACACTGATAAAGGTAAACATAACGACAACGCATACGCACCTGTTGAGCAAAGTGATCCATACTATTGAAGCGGACAAAGCCTTAACTCTCGCCTGTCTTGCTGGCAGTTTAAAAACACTAGTGCGCACTTGAATGCCGTTAGGAATTCACCACATTCAGACAACATCATTACAGCCTCATATAATGCATGAAGAAAACCAATTCCTATGTTATTGCATTATAGAAAATTTATCGACTCTATCATCTAGTGTGTGTTCATCTGACGCGCAACTAGACCCTTGTAGATGCCATTATTTATCTGCATCAACTCTTCATGAGTTCCTTGTTCAACAATAGCACCATTGCTTGTCACCGCTATAAGATTTGCATTTCTAATGGTAGTGAGGCGATGAGCCACAATAATTGTCGTCCGTTGCTTAATAGCGAGCAGTCGATCAAGTGACGCCTGTACTACTCGCTCGCTTTCATTATCCAAAGCACTAGTCGCTTCATCCAATAGTAACACTGCTGGATCACGTAAGATGGCACGAGCAATGGCAATTCGCTGTTTCTGGCCACCAGAAACTTGTGCACCACGGTCACCAACATCCGTATCAAAACCATTTGGAAAGTTGCAGATGAACTCAAATGCATTCGCTTTTCTAGCAGCTTCAATGATCTCTTCGCGCGTGGATCCAGGTTTGCCAAGTTTGATATTCTCAGCAATAGTACCCGCGAACAGTACTGGCTCCTGACTAACAAGCGACACATTCTCCCGCAGCCACTGTAAATTCAATTCTTTTAAATCAATTCCATCTAAAGTCACGACACCGGCAGCTGGGTCATAGAATCGCTCCATAAGCGAAATCGCTGTACTTTTGCCACTTCCACTGGCACCCACGAGTGCGACAGTTTGACCACGCGCAATTTTTAAACAATAATTCTTGTAAATCATAGCATCCGGACGCGCTGGATACGTGAACACCAAATTGCGAAACTCAATGTCACCGTTGACTAGGTCCAATGTGCGTCCAGTGCCCGATGTAGAATCAATTAGAGGCTTCCGATCAATAACTTTGAATACACGCTGAGCTGAACGCTTGGCTTTGGCTCCATCTGTCGCTCCCTGTGCAGCCATTCCAATTGCAAACGTACTGAGCATGATAACCATCAGCACCATGAAAAACTCTTCAAAAGTGATGATGCCACGCGAAATCCAGCGGCCACTCACATAGAAGAGAACGGCCAAGACCTCGAACGTGGCTCCTTGAGAGACTCCAAATGCTAAGCCCCCAACAATGCCAATCTTGACATCAGCCGCTTTCGAGGCGCTCAAGTACCCTACGTATAATGTATTTAACGCGACCTCCATACTGAAAGAAGCAACCGTACGAATCGAACCAATCGCTTCAGCAAGCAAAGATCCAGCAGCTGTATCCGCATCATTATTTTTCTTGTTGCCCGACGTACCGGCCATTTGCTGAGCTTGAACGTACGAAGACGCTGCCAATACTGGAAAAGCCGCTATCAGAACAAGTGTCATTTGCCAGCTATAAAAAAAGGCAATGGCAAACGCAATCGTGATTGTTGTGAGATTGATAAGTCCTCGATTAAGTGTTTCCGACGTCATTGCTTGCAGCACTGCTGAGTCGGTAGCCAACCGAGAGACCAATGCACCTGACGAATTTTCGTCCAGATCAAACCATCCAATCTCTTGATGCAGCATTGCACTGAACGTCGACAAACGCACACGAGTAACGAGATTTTGCGAGACGACAGCAAAGCCATAATGTTGCAGTGTGATTGATAGCGCAAACATGATACCAAGTCCTAAAAATCCAATTGCCCACCAGCGAGCATCCGTCAACATTTGGCTTTTCGTATAATCGAGCTGAAAAAACAGCACAGTCACTTTGACAAGCAGGACACCCCACACTGGAAACACTGCAGCATTAACAATAGCACCAAGAGAGCCCACAAATAAATATTTCCACTCGGGTAACGACATTTTCCAAACGCGAGCCATCGAAAATGGAGGGAGATCGACATCTCCTGGTTGATCATCGTCTGGTTTCTGAACAATATCCTTCTCTAGTATGCTATGTCGGCTGATCGATTGCCGCGAAACGCGTCTAGAGCGTACCACGTCATCGTCAACTGACTCAATGTCATCCATGGTCATCTCTTCAATTGCAGCTTTTTCTGTCTCTTGTGATGCCACGCGACTCTGAGCTTCAACCAAGAGACGGTAATGGCCATTGTCCAACTTCATCAATTCATCATGCGGACCGATTTCCACAATTGCACCACCGCTGTGAACTGCTATTCGACTAGCATTTCGAATTGTAGATAGTCGGTGAGCAACAACAATGGTCGTACGATGAGAGTTGGCCAACAGCTGATCCAGAGATTCTTGAACCACTCGCTCACTCTCCGTATCCAATGCACTGGTAGCTTCATCCAAAAGTAAAATTGGTGGATTCTTGATAATTGCACGTGCGATAGCAATTCGCTGCTTTTGTCCACCAGAAAGCTGAGCTCCACGTTCCCCCACTTCAGTTTGAAATTTTTGTGGAAATTCCATGATAAAATTGTATGCGTTAGCCATCTTGGCAGCTTCAACTACCTCGTCGTCAGATGCTGATGGGCAGCCGTATCGGATGTTTTCCATGATAGAGGTGGCAAAGAGTGAGGGCTCTTGACCCACAAGTCCGACTTGAGAGCGAAGCCACTTAACATTTAATGTGCGGACATCCACACCGTCAATACTTACAGAGCCACTAAGCGGGTCGTAAAAGCGTTCAAGTAGCGACACCATAGTACTTTTGCCACTGCCACTCGGACCAACAAGTGCTACCGTCTCACCAGGTTCAATTGTCAAAGAGTAGTTTCTGCAAACCACCACATCCGGTCGAGACGGATACGAAAATGAAACATTATCAATCTGAATACGACCCATAACCTTATCCAGCTTTTTGCCTTCATCTCCTAGTGGGTCAATTAATGACGGACGTTTAATCGTCTGAAAGACTGGAAATGCTGCTGCTCGAGCCGACGTGATTGCCTCAACACTTGGAGCCGCTTGTCCGAGTGCCATAGCTCCCATGATAATAGAAAAGAAGACTGTAAGTACTCGACCGCCATCATAACATCCGTTGCCAGTACAATTATTGCCATCTAGATTATCATTGGCCACCATCAATGCACCAAAGTACATGCCCCCTGCGTACGTAAAGAAGACAGTACCAAACATCAATCCTGTTCCCCACCCAACAGCAAACCCTTTTTTGATACCCGCTTTTGTTGATTGCTCAAGTGCATGTTCATACTTTGAAATAAAGTGTTGTATCGAATTAAACATGTGTACGGTACGCACATTGCTTAGTGCTTCTTGTGCTACTGCACCTGCTTTTCCATACGACTCGAGACCTGCTTGAGTAGCAGATGATAATACTTTCATGGCCAAAAATGCCGTAAATGCAATAAATGGTGTAAATGCCAATAAGATCAAAGCTAATTGCCATCCCTTGACAAGGCCAATGACAATACCTGACACCGCCATTGAGAAAAAATTCAATCCATCGCCAACTTTGCGACCCATGCCTTCTTGTATAGTCACAGTGGCTTCAGCCACACGAGAGCCCAATTGCATGGGTTCATTTATATCAAACCACCCAATTTCTTTTGTCAAGATCGCACTGACATACTCACTACGTATGCGTTTAGCTTGACGTGAAGCAGTGATGGTCCAACAAGCTACTTGAAAGGAACCAGATACAAAGACGGCAATGCCGACAAAGACAAAATTAAGAGCGACACTTCGAATGCCATCTTCGATATCCTCCCCAAGATCTGCTGGATTTAATGTATTGAGCACATCACCAAAGAGAACAATCTGGATGGGTTGAGAAACTCCAGCAGCTAATGCACCGATAGTACCAAGGATCATAAGGATCTTATCAATACGATCGGCATACGAAAAGAGTTCGCTCATGGAGACCACACGCCCATCAGCAGGTTTTGTCGGTTCTACTGTTTTCTTGGGACTATCAATGGCATTAAATGCGTCATCGCGTCGATTGGTTTCATCAGCGTAAACTGGAGTTTCCGCAACCGTGTAAATGGCTGAAGACTTCATATAAATGTCTTGGTTTACCTTCTTTGATGAACGACACTGATTATAAAGTGAGTCAAACGGTTAAAGATTGGTGCAACCGTGATGGTTGCGGCATTGTTGATAGGTACAGAGTGATTGCACCTTACCAGACGCTTGGTCATACACTTCAGAAATACTTGCCATTAACGGCATCATTATAATCTTATTATTATTTTTACTGTACCAAGATAGCGCAACTTTGCCAGTGACAGGTCGCTTTTACTTGTGCTAAGAAAAAGGACTGGGAAATGAACTTACTATACACCTTTCTCAATTAGAATAGTGATACTCTGCTGTGGCAATTACCAAACGGACGACATTGATCATGTCGCTCACCCTTAAGCACGCGCGCAAGCAACAATTGCCATAAACATAAACAATGCTGATCATATTCCTAGAACCTAAGTCGGTTCGAAGGTCGTTTACGAAAAGCTAGTAGGGATTAATTAAGCTAACTGTAACGAATGAGTGGTTTGCGAAAGTCAATACCATTTTTAACATCTGGAGTGGATTTCCAACGTAAGAATATAGAAAAAGTAAATTTAAGCTATAGCCCTAGCCCCGCTGTTCTCAATAATAGATTTCTTTATAAGCTAAGTCTGTTTATAGTTTTGATCTTTATGCTTCGGCTGTAGGATGCAACTATATCTTATAAACCAGCTGAATGAGTTCTATTTTATAATTCTAAATCTGAACAAGCTGTTTTCAGCATCTAATTTGACAAGTCGACTTGTCGCAAAAGAACGCAATAATAGTTTGCGGCGCCAACAAGTATAATACAGTACTGATAGTACTGTCACAATATCTTTTGGATTTATCGTGGCTAATTACATGTTGTGTAAAAGAAGTATTTCCAAAAAAATCAGACTCATCCTACGACTGGAAACCAGAAGTTGTAAAAGCTCAAAATTTTACACAAGCAGAGACAGCTGTGAACGACCAAGAACCACTTTAACTGTGAGTGAGAAATTGAATTGCTGGTTTTACACGAGCAAATTGCTGGCTAGATGTTATGCACCAGGCCCAAAACTGTGACGAGTTGCCGTCCAAGTTTATTTTTGTAATGGGGTATGCCTATGCTAATATGTGCATACACTTCTATACAATTGCGCAAAATACAAACCAGGGTAAATTTTGAAACTCACATTACGCTTTCGTGCAATTACCGAAGCAGTTGTACGAGTGCAGCACGTCAAGCAATAACTAGTATCAGTCGAAATCAAGATGATCCAAGAAGTATGTCACTTTTCAATTGGCAGAACAACTTGGTTACTAGTTACTAAGAAGCCTCTCGGTTCCGCTCCTGGTCAGAGCATACGAATCCAACCTCTGTGCGCTGTCAAATCTTGAGTACATGACAACATCATTGTTCAGCAGTACTAGTGGTCAATCTACGGCCGAGTCATGAAACTATTGTGACGATGATACACTATTTGTCGGATTACTTGACCCCAGGACTACTAGACACGCGTAGGAACTTCAAGTCTATCGGCGGTCCCAAAGAATCAGGGGCTGGCGGCAAAATGCTAGAAGCCGTAACTGCTCGCCTGGAGGCTTTCACAGCCATGAAAATGCGCGAAAGAGACACATATAGGAGCACTCCGACCGGGCGTTGGCGGGAGCGCATATGGTATCCATCGTGAGGTCACAGATGCTGAGTGTTCAGCCTTCTATAGACAGGGACGGCAAAGTCTGTTCTCTGAATGACGAAACTTGGGAAGGCTTAAAAATCGGTCTTACTCTGATCGGATTAACAGCGCGTTGCACTTGCGGTCTCCAGTCTAGGATTCCGCACATGAGAATACGCAGAAACTTAGTGAAGAGGAATGCTCAACATGAGTAGAGCTAGGGCGATATATGTCGCGACTACTTAGTGTAACGGGGTGACTCGTACCCTTGTATGGAAGTGCGAGTCACACAAGATGATGTGACCGACATAGGTCTGAATTACACAAGTTGGTGTAATCACACGATGGTGTGGCTACACCGTAACAAGAAGCCACTACGTGGTAGGATTACCAGTAGTAATGCATATTAATTAGATTTTACTAGATTAACTAGGTATTACTATATTGAACAGAGAAACACAAGGTTCAAAATAATGGCGGCAAAGCCGCCAATAAAATAATCAGACACAGTTTCAATTTTGAAAGAATGAGTTCATTTACCTTGACTCAGGTTTAAAGATCACTTAGAGGCAGCGGATTGCGGTCTGCTGCACTCGTACAGGTTATTGTAAAGAACGTCAGGTCGGTGACCTTAGCTTAGCTTCCTCAAAGCAAAGAGCTACGGTAGCTCCGCTGCTCTTGGTAGCACGTTTTGTCAATCTACGCCTGAGTCCTTACGACTGATCCTCTGTCAGGCATGCAGGACGGGCTTAATAAGCTGGTGTCCCTGCTGGGCCGTGAGGGCGTGAAACACCTTGTTTTGCAAGGTTTCGAGGCGATAAACGCGCCAGTCTCGTTTTCAGAGTATGAAGATGCTCTTTTAGATCATCTACAGCTAAAGCTGTCAGCGTCGACGGTGACCATGACGCCACCGTCGACGATGGATGACTCTTCCCGACCCAGGCTGGTTATGATGAGCGTTAAGAACTTCGAGAATAAGGATGAAGAATCTTCTGCTCTGGGTAAGAGAGATTAAGATGGCTATGGCATCCGCCATGCTCCAGAACGTGCAACAGCCCGTGGCGCTAGTTATCTCAAAGCTCGGGGGCGAGCGCAAGAATGGGCATCAACGTGCGGTGCTTCGGTTGAAGCTACGTCCCCCTCCTGGAAGGAGCTGAAGCGTCAGCTTTTGCAAGTGTTCTCGCCGCCCAACCAGGCATATCGCGTGCGATCGCGTTTCCTTGCCGCCCGACAGGGTAAGAATAAGATGGTGGACTTTGTCCAAGCGTTGAGAACTCTCATTGCCGGGATGGCAGCCGATCCTCTCCATGAGGCCGTCTTTATGGAGGGCCTCCGCACTGGCGTGGTCAGATTGGAAGTCTTCCGTGTACATCCGACTTCTATTGAAGAAGCGGTAAACGTGGTATTGAATGTCGAGCTCAACTTTAAGTCGGCACGACTTGGCAAGAATGCACACTCTCACAGCTCGTCGAGCGGGCCTGAGCCAATGGATCTCAGCTATGCCGAGAAAGAGGAGGGAGAGCTCCGAGCTGCCGAGCAGCGTATAAGCCTGACAGTATTCTGTCTGGGGAGACACCCGTCACCTTCGGACTGTTTGGCCCGTGCGCAAGGCGAGCAAAAATTCGTCGAGCCGACGTCCCGCTTCTAACTAGCCAGAATTGTCGCGGAAAAGAGAAAACCCAGTAGGCGCGGGGCGCCAAACTGGGGAAGAACTGAGTTCCGTTGTATCTCAAAAAGGTAGAGGGCAGCAGGGTCCAGTCCCGAAGAGCTCTGTGCTCTTGAACACGGAACGTGTATGCAAGCCGGGCTTGCTGGTCGTAAGAACGACCTTGGAGGGCTTTGAGAAGCCATGGACGATCCTTATCGATTCCGGGGCGTTGGGCGGTTATGCTCGACGCTCCACGATTGAAAGAAGTTACTGGATGCTAAGGCGCTGAAAGTGTGGTTGAGTGAACCCGTCACTGTTCGCTTTGCGACGGAACTTGTGTCACTGTGTCGAGGGTCCCTGAGGATCTCAAAGTCAATTTTTTGACCTTGATAGCATCGAACGCTGCTTAGTCTTAGACTTGAATGCAAGGTATGACCTTATCCTTGATATGGCATGCTTTGAGCACCATGAGTTTAGGCGCTACGCGCACTTTGGTTAGTCATGAATCCACCTCTGCTAGGAAGCAGAAACACTATTGGTGTGGGCACTGGACCGGGACGGTCAATATGCTGCATAACGGAGTATCCGAGTTGTCGAACACCAAAGATGTTTTGTACAGAAGTCCCGAGCATGGCTCGAGGGCTGAACGTGGAGTGGTACGTAACCCACTGAGCGCGGCTCAAGTATTGAAGCAGTCGCTGCATACCAAGGGTGGCATGGTCGACCACGGGCCGAGGCATCGAGGGCGAGGCTCCAGTGATGCACGTGGAGTGGCACGTTATCCACTGGACAAAGACTGCGGAAATAGCAGCTCTTCGTCGGATGTTGTTCATAACATCAAGGCTCCGATAAAGCAGGGAGTGGGGACACTGGACGACGCCGAGCGCGTGTTCCCACTGGTCTAGATGAGACGTAAAACCTCTATAGAGAGGAGACGGTGAGGCCGTAAGATCGTCGACCCTGACTAGGGCGTGTCTACCGTAGACGATAGCGCACAGCTATATACCCTTGTCAACGGTATGGCGGGAGAGCAAGACGGCGACGTCACCCTCGAGGCTATTTCCGCGGTGGATGCTCTTCTTGAGCTGGACGATATGTCCTTCGAAGAGTTTGGCGGTGCCTTGAAGGCAGGCATTTAAGCCGAGGCGGTCATTATAAGACCGAACGAGGAGATTAACTCGTCATCGCTTCTGGATGAAGCTGTCCTGGAGGACACTTAGAGGGTGATGAACGCACGAAGTGGATCATCGATCGTGAAGGATCCTTCGGATCCGTACTATTCTTTGGTAAAGGAATTCCAAGACGTCGATCCAACCTCCGGAACGAGGTGTGTGGCGTGAAATTGACCTGGCTTCGGGAACCAAATACTTCGTAACACGCCATTGCCCCTAACCAAGGGGCAATGTGATGTCACTGCCGCCTTTATTCGTGCAAAGCACGACGCAGGAATGGTGCATGAGAGCAAACTTCCCCATTCGACACCCACGATTTGTGCCCGGAAGCCGAACGGCAAGTGGCGTATCGTTCACGCTTACAAAAAGGTTAACGCTGCCACCATTCCGGCACAGACGCCGATTCCCAGGAAAGATATTCTCCAGAACAATATGATTGGATGTACAAAGTACAGCGCACTCTACTTAATCGATGAATATTACCCATTAACCATGAGACCGAGTGATATCCCGCTGACAGCGGTGAGTACTTCGAGGGAGATGCTCTGGGAGTGGCTGGTGATTCACCAAGGGCTGTCAAATGCGCCAGCAACATTTAATCGTCCTGTGACGCAATTGGTCTGGCCCCACCGGGCGTATGCACATACATACTTTGTCTACAGTCGTACGAGGCACGGGAGGATAGATGAGGAAAACCACATCGTCCATTTGAAGGCGGTGCTGGAGTGCATGCACACAAATAAGCTATATGCTAATGCCGATAAGTGCATATTCGGCGCGATAATTTTTTCTTTTAGGGTGCTCGTTGGGAAGCGTGGCTCTCGAGTGGTTCCCGCTAAGGTCAAGGCCACTGTAGACTGGCTGGTTTCAAAAAATCAAAAGGACTTGCGCAAGTGGCTTGGCCTCGCCAACTACTTGCACAGGTACAGCAAAAAATAAAGCGGAAATGACACGGCCATTGTCGAATCTCCTTCTAAACGATACAGAATGGTATTGGGACACCAAGCAACGGGAGGCTTTTGACAGGGTCAAAGACAGCCTCCTTCATGCACCGATACTGGCTTTACCAGAAC